CGTGGGCGCGAGCAGGTCCCTTGGCCTGACCGCGACCCCGGGAAACGCCTCCGCGATGTCCCCGTCGGTCATGAGCTCGGCCTCCACGCTTGGAAACCCACCGCGCCGTACCAGGGCGGCCGTGCACGAGCACAGCCCGGGCACCACCTCCAGCGGGAGGTCGCCGAGCGCCCGCGACAGGCACACCGCGGTCTGGACCGCTCGGGCCAGCGGCGACGTGTAGACCACGTCGAAGCCCTCCCCCGGCAGCTGCTGCTGTGGCTGCCGCCGCCGCCGCCGCCCGCCGCGGTTGAAGGGCAACGTGCTGAGGTAGAGACCGGCCGCGCTTGCCTGCACGTGGCCCTCGCCAGTGAGAGCGGGGTCGAAGATCTCGAGCGTCTTCCGGCCGGGTTTGCCGTGGCGGACGTGCCACACCTCGCTGACCACACCGGCCGCGTCTCGGGCCGTCTCCGCGCCCGCCGCCGCCGCCGCCGCCGTTGCTGCTGGCGCACCATCGGCGCGAGGATCGGCTACCGTCTCCTGCTTGCCGTCGGTTGCCTCGCCGCCTCCATGATCAGCGTTGCCCCCGTTGGCGGCGAGAGGGGAAGTCGTCCTCCTCGAGTCAGCTTGCGCGCCTTGCACGGCTCCCTCGGGGAGCGGGCCGGCACCGGCATCGCCTTCGGCAGCAGAAGCAGCAGCACCACCCACACCGTTGCCCCAACCGCTCGTGGAGGCTCTGAGGCGCTCGTACCCCGCCAAGGCGTACTGCTCCTCGTAGCTACGATGGGTTGTTGCAGCAAGCGGTTCCAACACGCCGGGAGGGCGGGCGGGCGGGCGGGGGGGGGGGGGGGGGACCCCAATAAGAATTAACCCGGGTATTGGGGGGATCCGAATAAGGGGGGGGCCGGGGGGACCCCCGTGTTTCCTGCTTTCCGGGAATGTGTTTTTCCGTATGGGTCTTGGGGGGAATGGCCCCCCCAACCCTCCGGGGATTGCAAAACCCCCAAACCCTGAAGAAACTGCCAACAAAAATCCCCCCAACATCCAATAAACCTCCCCCCCCCGCTGGAAAACTGCTGTTCCACAAATTTTATAACCAAAATCCTAAGCCCCAAAACCTGGATGCCAATGGGCCCCCCTTTCGTTGGGGGGGAACCCCCCAAACAATTTTTAACCCCAACAACATGCCCGTGAATACATCTGTAACCCCCCAAAAAAGAAACCCAGCCCCCCCCCCCCCCAAACAAGCGAACAAAAACAACCGATTCCAAACCGCAAAATGTCCCCCGGGGCGGCGGCGGCCACAAAAACCAATACTGTTTCCCCCCCATGAAAACCGCAAAAACCCGCCCCCCAA